GTTTTCCAGTTGACTGAGAACCTAATACATCAACGTGTAGAGCCAAATTATAACAAGAGGCCCATGAGCCTTATTACAGTGTGTGTGTGAGGTCATTCATTTAACAAACCATGGATACACTTATTTCGTCCAGAGCATGTTCATGACTTTTGCTTGTTGAGGAAGTATATTTTAACATATTTGACCCCTGTGACCTTGAAAGTGTTAATAAACTTGGTAGCCTTTAATCATGAAGTATCAACATATTTGACCCCTGTGACCTTGAAAGTCCAAGGTCATTCAAAAATTGAAATGTACCTGGCCTTAAATTTCAGTATTTAAAGATCCATATTTGCCCCTGCGACCTTGAAAGTTTTTCAAGGTCATTCATTTAAACAAACTTGGTAGCCTTTCCTCCCAGCATGCTACAGTTATCAACTTAGACTTTTGCTTATGAGATGAAGTCCTTTGTATATTTTAACATATTTGACCTTGACCTTGGTGGGCCAAGGTCTCATTTGCAAACTTTGTAGGGCTACCAGGTCATATTAGCCCCCTAGGCTTCTATTTTGATTTTTTCTGTAGAACATATTTGAATTAGCAATCAAATTCAAAACAAACTTGGTAGTGCATGACAACAATATCAGCAATCTGAAGTTATTGCAATTTGGTGATTTAAAGTGTAAATTCATTTGAACAAACTTGGTAGTCATCCCAGCATGTCATATCTACACTCTGAGCCTTTTGGTTAATGAGAAGAAGTTGTTTAAAGATTTTAACATATTTGACCCCTGTGACAAAATGGGTCAAGGTCATTCATTCTGAACAAACTTGAGAACCTCTGTGCCAAGTACCCCCTATTCTAGTATTTCAGAAGAAGTCGTTTGAATGAAAAGTTTACGGACGGCGCACGGCGACGGCGCACGGCGGACGACGACGGACGAAGCATGATGACTATAGGTCATCGGACCCTTCGGGTCCGGTGACCTAAAAAGAAAAACTGATTTTGCTTAGTATATACCTTGAGGGGCATTATCACAGACACAGATTTCTTTAAAATTTATCCAAATTCTAACAAACCATCACATAGTTTGTATCCAATTTAAACCTACTCACAAGCCATGTAGTAACGATAGTGCTACGTTACAGAAGTTTTCATATCGCTATGTAGCATATGTTCAAAAGATTTCCTAATCTACTGAGACATGCGAAAAGCACCGTTTTCATTCTCAAAAGGAAATGATCGGAAATGTTGCTTATAATTTCACGTTTTCACTAGTCTCCTCCTAGGTTTAAAATTTAGACCCTTAACTTCACTGAAGAGCCCTGGAAGGACAAAACAGCTGTTTGGTAGATTTTAATCATTTGCTTTGTTCTACTGTAACAAGAGGTGTTATTCACTAGTGCATCTTTCATACAATCTTTGCAATATCACTCAGATCAGGTGAATTACATGAAAGACCAACCAAATGTTTCTTACAATTTTCGTTATCTTTTTTGTATATTGTCTTTGTGATTAATTTCCTTCTCAGATCCGGTAATCCAGCTTTTTTGTCTGCGGATTTTTTACATGGGTATTTAACATGCAAGTTTGATGGGCTGGACAAAGAAACTCTGTTTAACTTGATCGGAACACATACTACAACTCCTTTCAAGATTTGTTTGAAAAAAGGAACAAGTAACACAAATGGAACGGTATTACAGACTTGTTTGAAACTCCTACAGGATAAATGTGAATCCAGCAAAGTACGCGTAGTTAAAACAATCCGTGTAAGAATGAGGACTACCGTTGATTTACTACTGCAAAAGATTCCTGGATTAAAAGTGATACACTTATTTCGTGACCAGAGACCGCGACTTCTTTCTGCGGAAAGCACTCCCTTCATGTTAGCTTATACCTTACAAAAAACAGCGAAATTGGAATGTTCTGACACCTATGATGACATAGATATACAAACAGCGCTGAAAAAACAACATCCTGACCAAATAAAAACTCTTTTGTACGAGAGGCTAGCTGAATATCCTCTCGATATAGCGAGGCGCATATTTAATTTTCTTGGTTTACCATTAACAAAAATGTCGATTGATAAGATTCAGAGTATGACATCTTCAACAAATGAACTTAATTGTCCTTTTTGTACGGAAAAAAACGATTCTGCAAAAACCGCGCATGCATGGAGAACTAAAAAGTCTCAAGATTTCTTAAAAATTAAAATGATAGAGGAAGCATGTGAAAAGGTTCAAAAAGCACTTGGTTACGTACCTGTGAATAACATGGTCGAGCTGAGGAATATTTCGGTAAGTCTTAGAGTCGATACTGCTTTCACTGCTGATGTGCTATAGCTTTGAAATGGGACCTCTTTCCGAAGGATATCTAAATTTCAAAAAAGACATTATGTTGTTGAATCTCGTAAGATTCCGTGGAACAAAATCTTGCAAGAATGTTGAAACACATTTGATCATGATAGCAATGCTGTCATATTCGCCATTAAATTAACAAAGATGAAATGAAAAGTCTATACCATATATTGCTGTTGTCTGTGAACTTATTTTTTCCCAAATCCTTTCATGATTGAATTTATATCGTGTCATGCTACATTTCTGTTATCGATTTGTAGAATCATTTGTTAGGCAGAGATCGAAGAATGAAATTATTTCATCACGCTTTCATATACGTGTTTCTCTCTGTAACACTGTGTAATTATCCGCTATGTGTTCTGTACCTGTTACTCGCAGTAATACTGTGTAATTAGCTGTTATGTGTTCTGTACGTGTTTCTCTCTGTAACACTGTGTAATTATCCGCTATGTGTTCTGTACCTGTTACTCTCTGTAATACTGTGTAATTAGCCGCTATGTGTTCTGTACCTGTTACTCTCTGTAACACTGTGTAATTAGCCGCTATGTGTTCTGTACCTGTTACTCTCTGTAACACTGTGTAATTAGCCGCTATGTGTTCTGTACGTGTTACTCTCTGTAATTCTATGTAATTAGCCGCTATGTGTTCTGTACGTGTTACTCTCTGTAATTCTGTGTAATTAGCCGCTATGTGTTCTGTACGTGTTACTCTCTGTAATTCTGTGTAATTAGCCGCTATGTGTTCTGTACGTGTTACTCTCTGTAATTCTGTGTAATTAGCCGCTATGTGTTCTGTACCTGTTACTCTCTGTAACACTGTGTAATTAGCCGCTATGTGTTCTGTACGTGTTACTCTCTGTAATTCTGTGTAATTAGCCGCTATGTGTTCTGTACCTGTTACTCTCTGTAACACTGTGTAATTAGCCGCTATGTGTTCTGTACCTGTTACTCTCTGTAACACTGTGTAATTAGCCGCTATGTGTTCTGTACCTGTTACTCTCTGTAACTTCTGTATGTAATTAGCCGCTATGTGTTCTGTACCTGTTACTCTCTGTAACACTGTGTAATTAGCCGCTATGTGTTCTGTACGTGTTTCTCTCTGTAATACTGTGTAATTAGCCGCTATGTGTTCTGTACCTGTTACTCTCTGTAACACTGTGTAATTAGCCGCTATGTGTTCTGTACGTGTTACTCTCTGTAAATCTATGTAATTAGCCGCTATGTGTTCTGTACCTGTTACTCTCTGTAACACTGTGTAATTAGCCGCTATGTGTTCTGTACCTGTTACTCTCTGTAACACTGTGTAATTAGCCGCTATGTGTTCTGTACGTGTTTCTCTCTGTAATACTGTGTAATTAGCCGCTATGTGTTCTGTACCTGTTACTCTCTGTAATTCTATGTAATTAGCCGCTATGTGTTCTGTACGTGTTACTCTCTGTAATTCTATGTAATTAGCCGCTATGTGTTCTGTACGTGTTACTCTCTGTAATTCTATGTAATTAGCCGATTCACTGTTTATTTGCAGTGTTTAATTATAGTACTATTGATTCCTTATTCATTTTCAATAGGTGTTATTAAAGCACGATTGAAGTAAAATGGCACAACCGTTGTGCATTACACATATTCAAGATAAATAGAAATGTTGACCCTATCTTTCCAGCTGTGCATCTCGCTGTTTAAGAAAACATTGTCAGGCACAACTGTTGTATGGTATGTTTGCGCTATACTGTAGTAGTGTTTAAGGAATCATATCGTATCTCGAAATATATTTTGATAGATATTAACAAACTTACCGGCAACTATTTGACTGAATACAGCTAGTTCATAATTTGGATTAAAACATTGTACTTGTGAGTCATATGTAGTTTTCTTCATGGTCAGGACACACCTCAAAAATGTAAAATAAAAAACTTAGCAGGTGTACTTAAAAAAGATTACACAGGCTGTTTTGTTGGATACTTCACTCCAGTATGGCTTTCCCTTAGATATATCATCCTACACAAAATTTCACTTCATAATGGGATATTTTTCATTATTTTTGCAAGACACCGAAATATGTTGAAGATTTCCTTTTTTCATGTAATCCAGTTTGTTTCCAAGTGTCTTGAAGATTTTATTCTGTCTTTCTAGAAGTCATCTTGGCTCCTCAATTACTGTCAGTTGTGACATCGGTAACACAATATGAAAATGCGTGACTTTATTTCATATCAGTATATGTTATCGGAATACATCACAGCACGATAGTGTCATTGAAATATCTATATATATATGGATTCACTGAACACCACGATAACTTTATGAAAAATATTGAAGGATACAATTCGATCACGCTCATGGCATTCTGTAGAAAACATTCTTCAAACTTATAAGAAAAGGAAAATTCTCATTTTTCATTTTTTCAAAATGAAAAATTACTAAACGGTTCATACTTTGGGTTGAATTGGTTATACTGTTAGTGGTCTTAATACTATATAAGGTATATAATTTATTACTACTTTAAATTGGAGGTACATTATATGTTAGCTTAATGTGAACACGATAACTGGCATTGATGTTTGTTTGTGTGTTGAGTTAATCGCCCTGTGATCTGTCAGCGTCTTTTGAGGCGTTGTCTCCCTGTATCAGCATGTAACCCCCTCATTGAACAACATGCTGGAGGCCCGTCGCATGCCCCCCGGAGAAAGGTTGTGTCTTGGGCAAGGTAATTACCCCTAGCATTAATATCTTTATTTTCTATGCACACTTTCATTCACACATAGACTAATTACACAAACAAGAAACTCATTTGTGTTGAATAAAACAAATGGACATCAATGCATTTGGTCTGATGATATACGACAACACGAACAGCAAACCAACTCTCAGTGGATGGATAATTGATAGAATTTACAATAAACATTTCCTCAAACTTTACAAGTATGTAAACACAACCAACATTTAACACAAACTCTATGTAATACAGCTGCCTTTCAGAGATTTAATGTGACCAGTTGACCGGAGAATCCCGCGTTGAATATACTGTCTATGAAAGGGTTTTACACGATACAACAGTCAGTCATGTCATTATTATTCAGAAATTCTAAAGTTATCGCTATCATCAAATTACTTGTGCCTGGCAACTCTGTGGGCGAGTCGTTGTATTCGTGTAATAAAAGCTGATATTGTGCGACAAGACAGCACCTGTTTTTTACACAGAGTAGGTATTGGATGTTTCGAACAATATGTCTTTTTAAGTCTTTGCCAAAACGAGAAGCATACATTAAAATTCAATTATCATAGTTGTAGATAATAAAAGCACGTTACAAATCGTGTCCTATCCAGTCAGTAAACGAAAACTGGTCGTATAGAAGGTCATAGCTGTAAGGCAGGTCAGAAAAGCTTCTCCGCCATTTCCTGGTACATAAGTTTACGGTCACAATCTGGGACAGTTACATATTCAGATAGTTTGGACGCTACACGATTTCATACAGAGTTAATTAAGTATCTATTTCCACCAAAAGCAAACCATTTACCGTCATATTTACATTTTGGGCTACACTTTACTATGTAAACTAAGTGACATCCGTTTCAGATTATGTGACTAGCAATCATTTAGTGATTCGTGTGAGATACAGAATTGTTACCCTGTAATCTACTTAAAATACATCAAATGTGGTAACGTCATATATTGATTCCTGTCTTTCAAACAGAAATAGTATGTTTTCTCTTAATTCTTACAGTTTAAATACTTCAGTTCATTGGTTCTCTTGAAATATAAAAAAGTCATTTATGTAATCGTGACGCAGATACACCTGTTATATACAGTCGTTGGGAATTGTGGCGAAGTAAAAGTGCACTTCCTGCTATTTAAGACGTCGCTTTGTAATTCATTGGTTGTGTCCGTGGACAACACACTTTACCGTAAATGTTCTGGGTGACAGGCGATCGGTGTTCCCTATTTGTTCAACAAAGTAAATCGGTATACTTCTTTAGTGGACACGATAAAATAGGAAGATCTGTAACACTTATCAACACTTAAAAATGTGAGAAACAAACAAATCATATCAATGGAAAAAATAACAGATAACATATAACATATGACACTCAACCAGATATAACACACCAACAAGATATAACACACTCAACAAGATGTACACACTCAACAAGATATAACACACCAACAAGATATAACACACTCAACAAGATATACACACTCAACAAGATATACACACCAACAAGATATACACACTCAACAAGATATAACACACCAACAAGATATAACACACTCAACAAGATATACACACTCAACAAGATATAACACACTCAACAAGATTTAACACACTCAACAAGATATAAACACTCAACAAGCTATAACACACCAACAAGATATACACACTCAACAAGATATACACACCAACAAGATATACACACTCAACAAGATATAACACACCAACAAGATATAACACACTCAACAAGATATAAACACTCAACAAGATTTAACACACTCAACAAGATATACATACTCAACAAGATATACACACTCAACAAGATATACACACTCAACAAGATTTAACACACTCAACAAGATATACATACTCAACAAGATATACACACTCAACAAGATATACACACTCAACAAGATTTAACACACTCAACAAGATATAACACACCAACAAGATATAACACACTCAACAAGATTTAACACACTCAACAAGATATACATACTCAACAAGATATACACACTCAACAAGATATACACACTCAACAAGATTTAACACACTCAACAAGATATAACACACCAACAAGATATAACACACTCAACAAGATTTAACACACTCAACAAGATTTAACACACTCAACAAGATTTAACACACTCAACAAGATATAACACACCAACAAGATATAACACACTCAACAAGATATACACACTCAACAAGATTTAACACACTCAACAAGATTTAACACACTCAACAAGATTTAACACACTCAACAAGATTTAACACACTCAACAAGATATAACACACCAACAAGATATAACACACCAACAAGATATACACACTCAACAAGATTTAACACACTCAACAAGATTTAACACACTCAACAAGATTTAACACACTCAACAAGATATAACACACCAACAAGATATAACACACTCAACAAGATATACACACTCAACAAGATATACACACTCAACAAGATTTAACACACTCAACAAGATATAACACACCAACAAGATATAACACACTCAACAAGATATACACACTCAACAAGATATACATACTCAACAAGATATAACACACCAACAAGATATAACACACTCAACAAGATATACACACTCAACAAGATATACACACTCAACAAGATATAACACACCAACAAGATATACACACTCAACAAGATTTAACACACTCAACAAGATATAACACACCAACAAGATATAACACACTCAACAAGATATACACACTCAACAAGATATACACACTCAACAAGATATAACACACCAACAATATATAACACACTCAACAAGATATACACACTCAACAAGATATACACACTCAACAAGATATAACACACTCAACAAGATATACACACTCAACAAGATATACACACTCAACAAGATATAACACACCAACAAGATATACACACTCAACAAGCTATAACACACCAACAAGATATAACACACTCAACAAGATATAACACACTCAACAAGATAGAACACACTCAACAAGATATAATGCACTCAACAACATATACACACTCAACAAGATATACACACTCAACAAGCTATAACACACCAACAAGATATACACACTCAACAAGATATACACACTCAACAAGATATACACACTCAACAAGATCTAACACTCAACAAGATATACACACTCAACAAGATATACACACTCAACAAGATATAACACACTCAACAAGATATACACACTCAACAAGATATAACACACTCAACAAGATATACACACTCAACAATATATAACACACTCAACAAGATATAACATACTCAACAAGATATACACACACAACAAGATATACACACTCAACAAGATATAACACACTCAACAAGATATACACACTCAACAATATATAACACACTCAACAAGATATAACATACTCAACAAGATATACACACACAACAAGATATACACACTCAACAAGATATAACACACTCAACAAGATATACACACTCAACAATATATAACACACTCAACAAGATATAACATACTCAACAAGATATACACACACAACAAGATATACACACTCAACAAGATACAACAAACTCAACAAGATATAACACACTCAACAAGATATACACACTCAACAAGATATAACACACTCAACAAGATATACACACTCAACAAGATATAACACACTAACAAGATATAACACACTCAACAAGATATACACACTCAGCAAGATATAACACAGTCAACCAGATATACACACTCAACAAGATATAACATACTCAACAAGATATACACACTCAACAAGATATACACACTCAACAAGATATACACACTCAACAAGATATACACACCAATAAGATATAACACACTCAACAAGATATACACACTCAACAAGATATAACACATTCAACAAGATATACACACTCAACAAGATATAACACACTCAACAAGATATAACACACTCAACAAGATATACACACTCAACAAGATATAACACACTCAACAAGATATACACACTCAACAAGATATACACACTCAGCAAGATATAACACAGTCAACCAGATATACACACTCAACAAGATATAACATACTCAACAAGATATACACACTCAACAAGATATACACACTCAACAAGATATACACACTCAACAAGATATACACACCAATAAGATATAACACACTCAACAAGATATACACACTCAACAAGATATAACACATTCAACAAGATATACACACTCAACAAGATATAACACACTCAACAAGATATAACACACTCAACAAGATATACACACTCAACAAGATATAACACACTCAACAAGATATACACACTCAACAAGATATACACACTCAACAAGATATACACACTCAACAAGATATAACACTCTCAACAAGATATACACACTCAACAAGATATACACACTAACAAGATATAACACACTCAACAAGATATACACACTCAACAAGATATAACACACTCAACAAGATATACACACTCAACAAGATATAACACACTCAACAAGATATAACACACTCAACAAGATATACACACTCAACAAGATATAACACACTCAACAAGATATACACACTCAACAAGATATAACACACTCAACAAGATATAACACACTCAACAAGATATACACACTCAACAAGATATAACACACTCAACAAGATATACACACTCAACAAGATATACACACTCAACAAGATATAACACTCTCAACAAGATATACACACTCAACAAGATATACACACTAACAAGATATAACACACTCAACAAGATATACACACTCAACAAGATATAACACACTCAACAAGATATAACAGAACACTGCTGGAAACATGCTTTTAGGGGAAAGAAACTGGAAATACCATGGATCACCGTCTGCTATTGGTACACCGGAAATAGATCTACCCGAACTGTTAAACCAAAACAGAGCGGTGGCAGGAGATGAGGCAATCGTTGTTTTTACATATCTGGTGTAACATTACTCACCAAATCACGCCCATTATTTCAGGAAGCTCTACTTTGTTTTAATGTAAACAGCAAATGGCTTAAATTTGAATGTGTAATTATAAAAAGCATTTGACCGAACACGTTGGTGGTACACCTGTACAGGAAATTGGAAGGTGTCAGATATATTCGTTTATATCAAAAGTAGATAATAATTCAAATTTCCTGTTGTGTGCATTAAAAAGACATAGGTCTTGCAGACTCAAGTTTTAAGTGATGTTTATTCGTAATTAAGTATTTCTGCTGGTTTTGTTATAAGAACTATTGCTCTACTGAAATAGATAATCTGAAGAAAAGTTCAGAAATACTCACTTTTCTTGTGAGGTTTCTAACTTCCAAATAAAACCTCGCACCATCATTTGATATCTGCTTCAACTTATGAAGGGTGTTATTGTGTAAATACTTTATAAAAGTGGGTGATGTGAAAGTACAGCAGTATGTACAAGAACGTGAAGGTCTTGTCGGAGTAGCGATCAAAAATCTAAAATAAAGCCTCCATTTTATTATGTACAATATTTACAAGGATGGTACAAATATCAAACTACAAAGATATATTTTAAGAAATCCTCTTCAAAACTTATTTTTTTCTGTGATCGACATTTAAATATTGCAGCATTCATTTAAAACAAATAACATAGTGCATCACTTTCAAGCATAACCAAAATTGTTAAAAAATTTCCACACTTATCAAGCTAGTAGTGTCTTTTGCTATTTTGCTTTTGCTAAGTTTACCATATAAATACGTTTCTGTTACCTAGGAAACAGATAGGCAAATCAACATAATTCAGTTTTTTACATACCGGTTCAAGGTCATTACCCGTCACTCAAAACTTCGTACAGGCATCAAGCTAATACTCTAGTATAAGGTCTCAATTTCAATGCATTTTATGGAGCAATTAAAGATAACAAATATTATACATGGCCGTCGTGAGGGCAAGCTAGTTGGACCAAATGTATAAGCATAAAAGACAAGACAAAAGATCAGATTTGATTGAAATTGGCCGTTTATTAATATATAAACGACGAACTTGAAACATAAGAGTTTCAAGCATGAACAACAAATTTTACATGAGAAGACATTTGGTCCTAGGTTGGGATCAAAAACGCCACCATGGTGTTCTAACAAATTACAAGTAATTTTTAGAACAACATACCCCACCCGACCATGAAATTATACTTGTTGTGATGTTAACATATCATTTGTTTTGTTCTTCTTTGTCTGTCTTCATGCTGTATGGTTGTATGTGCATGAGTTATTTACATATGGAAACGTTCTTATTAATTCAACTGATAAAAATCACAATTGTTGAAAGCATGTGAGGTGTTTAGCTGTGGGAGAAAACCCGTATCCCTTCTGGAAATCAAACACCGGACGGCTAGGTGAAAGACAAGTGTGTTGCAACTGTGCCACCAAGAAGAAGAAGAAGAAAAAGATGATGATGATGATGATGATGATGATGATGATGATGATGATGATGATGATGATGATGATGATGATGATGATGATGATGATGATCTAGTACACCGATATTTTGTTGAAATCTTGCGAAATTCAAAACAAATTTTAAAAACAAGCTTCAGTGCAGACATGGATCAGGCAATTCAAAATGTACATCTTCTTGACCAACTTTACATTATATTTGTTTATTTTTCAAAAAAATGAGGAAAGAAAACCACAACTTAGTTTATTGGTATCTGTAAAAAAAAGGTTACAATTATTTCTTTATTTTAAAAAAATGTGTCCAAGCTGAGCGGCGAACCCTATGGTTGAGTGTTTATCTATTTTAAGCTCTCTTTAGGAATTCCGGAAGTTGATACCGGTAGTCAGTGACAAGAAGAAGGGAATTCCCAAAACGAAAGACATCATGGTGATAGCCGATTGAACTTGTAAACCAAGGTATATAATGATGATTAACTGGGTACCATATTGAAATCGCCCAAACACTTTTAATCACACACAGTTCCCTGTTTATTTGAGCGACGATTGAATATATTATGACTTGGCTCTGTTTATGTTCATCTTTGGTGTTGACATTAGCCCACCAACTTGTTATGGCAACTATTTATCTGTATAGTGTATATACGGAACATTGACTACTGTACGTATACATCAGTAAAATTTCTTGCACTTGTTTGGTTTATATATAGCGTGTTCTTGTGTGTCTATATGTACATGTATCACTTTGCAAAGGGGAGAGGTTGGGGAGGGGTGAGATGCGGTAGACACAAAACCTCAACATGAGCTCCCCAAATACATGTACAAAAGCATAGTGTGCCTCATGATATGACCAAATCCCTGAGATTTATAGTTTACTCCAAAAGGTTCTTTCCCAATGGATCATTTCCCCCCAGAATGAGATAAAAAGGCCTATTCCCAAATGAATGGGAAAACACCCCTGAAATTCCCTGTAGTGCTTGAAGGCAACCATATATTTGCTATGTATAATTCCTCTTCTAATATGTTTTCCCCAAACACGACATCAACCCAGGTTCTCATTTTCTAAAGAGGTCAAGCTTCTTGGGATCCTATAGGTTCCTGAACTTGATATTAGTTATTTCCATTCTCTCATAACATTTTAAATGTGCCCACATTTAATTTTCTTCTTTCTTTCTTAATTTTTTTCAGGTTAGATGCAAGATTTTCTTCTCCATTATAATAAATATCTTTAATACTTTCACCAAGATGAAGGTCAAAGATCTACACCTGACAAGCTACATGGGCTACCTCCCCCATATAATTTTGGTAGCAGCGCTAGCCCTAGGACTGTACACACAGTGGCAGTATAGCCAGAATACCATTGTACTTGTTGTAGCCATACTTGGGCTTTTTGTTTTTGGATTATCTTGTGCCTGTCAATATTACTTCAATTATGAATCGATGGGACGTGCTATCTTACACATATGGTTAGGCTGTATTTTAGGTGTAATTGTGTTCTCCGCAGAGCAGAAAGAAATCGAGTACATTGTTACACAAGAAGTGATGAATATTCTGTTTATGACAAGTCTTGCTGTATCTTGTTTCTGGATTATCACCCAACGAATCATGAGGTTAAAGAAGCACGAGGCAAAACTATGCGAATCTACAGAACTGTTGGAGTGCCTGGGTTTATCGATAGCAACACTTCTCACAGACCAGTACGCCATCCCAATCACTCTCTTTATTGTTTCTGTTGTCTGCCATTTGATGGCCATAAGACTCAAGTCCATTTTTGGACTTGCTAGCTTCCTTGGAATGATTGTTGTGGTGTTGGTGTTTTTTAGAGATGAAAAACTCTATGTTAATCAATATGGACTGATTTGCTTTGTTGGGCGACAAGCATGTTCACCAATTGTAGATCTATATTTCTCAGATCTGACAACACTGGATAGATGGCAGACATTCTTCAATTATTCAAGATTTCTAAGACATCTTTCTATATTTTTTATATTTATAGTAAATGTTACGCTAGCAGCATTTATAGGTAAACAGATAACTTCACACAAGGAATGGTTTGTAGTTGTTCCAATATTTGCTGTTTTCTTACTGATGTGGTTGTGTTTCCACATTATCTACATAATATCCTGTTGGAAATTGATGAGTAAGGTCACTGAGTGCAACAGCATATACAAAAGTGTGTCAGACGAACGAAGGAGCCTTAACAGGATAATGTCCTCTAAAGGGGTGCGTCACTTTAGCCTTGTGTCAGTGCGGCTTATTTGTGTGACGCTGGTAACAACGCTAGTATTGTGTGGTCTGGGATGGACAACCCGCACTGGTCACAGCCAGGCACTTCTGTTCATCGTGCTTCCATTGGAGTGTATGACCTTAAGTCTGTTCAGAGAACTTGGAGATTCCCTCGGAGGCACAGCAATCGGATATGCCATAATCAGTCCAATCTCAGGTCAAAGGTCAGTATAATATGCAGATGAGGCTAAATATAAATAAAAATGTATTTTTTTCAAATATCTTTTGTGATTTACTGTAGGTACGATTTTATGGTAACCATTTATTGGTATTGGGTAATAATTCTAACTGGTTATCAACTGTGAATTTCAGTTTGTTTTTCATTTTATTTCTATCGAACATGAACAGAGAACATTTTTGTTAAAGGAGAAAGAAATAGAAAAAGTGTATCAAATCATTATTGTTAAGTTTTTGAAATTTTTTCATTTGCAGACCAGGTGCTGGTGTCAAGCTGTATGCCCATAATAGTGTTCAGGACATGGGATCTTATGCTATGGCAACACTTAACAAAATTTGCCAGTTCTTTGACTTTCACATGATCAACAACTTTGGTACTGACTTCTCTAGCAGTGGGATGAGCCTGGAATTTCTACAGTCTAAGGTGAAGGCTTTCTTTGGTCGGTGCTGTATGGGGGAGAATGGACCTCGTTATGACACCTATCTGCTGTATTACAGTGGGGATGTGTACGACACCGGGGATTGGGCTTTAGCAGGTAAAATAGAAAATTTGTATTGATAATCAAAGTTTTTCATTTAATCATTAAATTCTAGCTTGTTGTCACTGATGTGAAATATTATATAAGTGCATTTCAAGATTCTTTCAATGTTAGTACAGTTTTGAGATCGCGCAACGTTACATGATGTCTGCATGATGTCCGCAGAATGTATGCACCATAGAAAAACTGGACATAATAAGCCATCAGATATAAGTGCACATATTGTGTAGTTCTATTGTGGTTGATATAGATTAAGAAATGATTTATAGGTAAGTTTGGGATAGGGTTTATTTATTTTCTTAATGTATAAGAGTTCAGACAACTTTATTTCCTAATTTAGCCGTGAATCTATAGGTTGGACAATTGTAGATCTATTAGATATAGACTGAAGAGATATACGTGTACTTCAAAGTGTTTTGTTTATAAAGTGGCACACATGACCAGCCTTACAGTATGTTAATTCATTATACATACATTATATGTATGCACACATTTAATGAATCAGCTAAAATCTCCTACCATCAGAAAGGAAATTTTTTTTCATTACCTTTGTGTTACTTCCATTGTTCTGTAATATTGTAAACAAAAAATATGTACCCGGGTAAATTTGAAGTGTTCTGTTTGTTACACGGGAGACATAGCCAGTACGAATCCGAACCTGCCGTGTATATACACATATACAGGTAATTTTTGTTGCCTGAAGCACCACTTGCTACTCTCTGAGTTGTAAAACTTTACAATGAAAGACTAACTAATGCAGGGTCCAATTTTATTTTAAAAACTAATGGGTTAGAAATGACTTTTGTAATCACTGATTCATTTTAAAGCATCTGTGATCCTTATTTAGTCATAACTATGCAAGTTTTCCATTAAATTTTTAATCCGTCATATTGACCAACTATATTTACCTAGATTCTGTCTAATGCACGAGTTCAATGTATGCACTATGTGCACTGTACACAGAAAGTGCTTGGTGCATTATGTGTTATCACAACTGTACAGTTCAAAAAGACTTGGTTTTCATATGATGTCAATATTTATGAAAAGACAAAGTGAAATCTTTGGTAGATAAAAGGACCTACAACCATATCAAATTGCACCAACAAGTGTAGTTTTATTTACATCTAACATTTTAAATATGATGTAACCATGGAAAAAATTTGATATAGACGTAATGATAAGTATATAAAATGAAAAAAAATCAGTATCATTTGGTTTCAATTAATTTATACTCTGTTCTAATCAACATTACACTAAGAATGGCTTACTGTGTGTTTTCTAGGACAATACACTAGAGTCTTAAACATTTTAGATTCAACTTCCTGTTTTTAGGGTCCTGACCCTTATTGTTTCCACCTTGCCAGATGGATTTATTCTTAAAAAAAATGAAATAAATATGGATATTCAATACAGATAACAAGAATTTGAAGTTGGACACTCTCCTGGAATGGTGGTCGGAGAAAAACGTTGACTCAGGAGCACGTCTGATTCTGGTACTGGACTCCCTCCACTCACATCACTGGGCAAAAGAAGTACGGTATATTCGTGATGACTTTGTTGCCATCCAGACGTGTCGCTACAAATTCCGTCAGGAGGACTTAGAACAGGGGGAGAAACCTCCAGCTGGCTCATTCTCACAGGATTGGGTGCATTACAATATGGATGCAGCTATCGAACAGGACTGGTCAGACAAAGAACGCACAACTCGTGCCATTTATGGTGTGTCCAAACACTGGACAGACTTCACATTCCACATGCCAACAGAAAGAGACATAGCTGATCACTGTGATTCTAGCTTTCCCAAACTGGTGAAGCCTCTGGTACAGGTCGTCAATTATCGTGGAGTTCCTTGTCACGGGGTCTCACTCTGTTTTTGCTGTGATATTGTCATACGTTGCATGAAACGGAAGCGGATGAGGTGGCTCCCTCCAAAAGAAGTGGATACAAAACATGGCTTCAAACTAATCCAGTCATAATGACACACACACACACACACACACACACACACACACACACACACACACACACACACACACACACATATATATATACTGGGGTTCTTGTCGAGTAAGATCAATAACTTTGGTAAACCAAATTCCAGATTGCTGAATGTAACTGTTTTAAAAGTCCTTCACATTCTGGTTATATAAACATTTATGCATGATCTTGTCTTCAAAGTGAGTTTCAAAATAGTTGGTGCTTAATTCATTATTATCATTTTTTGAAAGAAAATGTATATCCCCAATATGAATCATATATGAGGAAAAGTGACTCGTAGCCATCAGGCTGTTCACAATCCTCGTTAAACAAATAAAGAATAGAATTAAGCAATGATGATGTATTGCAATGATTAATTACCCTGTGGAATACTTTACTCTGAAGAACTAGATCTAAACTTCAATTTCAGAAATTCACAGGCTCATTGTCAGTCATGCAAGACACAGAAGTGAAAGTGATTTCAATGCAATTCACACTAAATTTATATTTTTTTTCATCTGCCAAAACATTTTGGTACATCAAACACTAATTTCTTGTGCTCACTTCAGTGCTTAAACACAAAAGGCCGCTAAACTAATTGATGGTGTTTTTGAATTTTAAGATATACAGTAAATTGCTATCTTTCTTCTTTTACAATCATTTTACAAACTTTTAAATTCACCTAGGCTTCACCTAGGTTAGGTAGTAAGATCATTCATGTTGGGCAACTTCAATTCCAAATTGTTAAGTTAGTATAGTTGACAGTAAGCATTGTTGAAATTATGGTAGTACATGTACTTTAAATATATCCTGTGTCTGGTTTACTTCAAGTTTTCAAATTCTAACAATCGTGAAAACTACGACTCTTGGTTATTTTTCAACAAGCAAAATTATTTTTGATGTTACTTTATAGCTGGTGTGATGCAATTTAAAGCTACATTTTAAATGTTAGTGCTTATGAATAAGGACTTTTAAGGTACCCCTTCAGACTGATACACTGTATTTTTCTTCTTCCTTCCTTGACTAGCCCTCTTTTGTGAGGAAAGCCTGATTTAATTACAATTCCAAACTTATGAATTAATTAAGAAATTTTATTTTGATTGTTTAAATATTCGAATTCTACATCTAAATACATTTTGTTATACTTGTATATAAATGTGATTTATTTAATGTTTGTTTGCTTATATGATCAAATTTATTTTGTATAACAGTTTAAACATATTGTACTATTGTCCTTGCTGAAATCAAATAATTGAATTACCAGTTTGTTATTGTGATTGCTACACCTGTCCATTGTCCGTCATGCATTCTGTATATCCATAGCACAAGTATCATTACATATCTGAACAAATAGCAACAAAATACTGCCACAGGTAAACCAAACCAAGGTAAGGTTCAGAGTCAAAGGTCACTATTGACATGGCGGGTGTCTTGGCATTTAAAAAAGATACCTACCACTCCCAGGCTGTAGTTAAGTACAAAGACCGTACTTTATGTCGGGTTTGGGAACAGGAGCAATTTTTCAGATAAAGTATCTATTAATCATCATGTCTGGAATTTCTATCTCCTGGACTTACTCAAAGTCGTCAGAGACATCTAAAAAAAGACATCTGAAATCCTATGTCAAATAGATAACAAGCACAATTTTATTTGACACAGACATATCAGCCTTTATACAATGATTCTAAATTTAAGTCTCTTGTTAACCTCAACCCTGGCAGATCTCTCTTGATAATGTTTGGGACTGAACTTTTTTTTCCATAGAAAATTTTAAAAAATTAACATTGTCTATAGTTTAGATTTGTATAGATTTTCTATAGCCAATCATTTGTTTTGATTAGTGTTATAAAGAAGGTTTAAATAATAAGTATGATGTACAGTTCAAAATTCTTCTCATGATTTTATAATGTAATGCACATTTCAGTACATTATGTAAATACTCTGTTTAAGTTATTTTTCTGTCAAGGATTTGTTTTTTTGTGACACTTACAGGGTAGTTTGTTCACTCCTCAAGACACAGGCACTCATGGTGTCCGTTAGCTATATTAAGTTTGTTGTGTGTGTCTGCTTGCTTGTTGTTTGTGTTAGCTTGTGTGTAGTGTGTATGTTATATACTTATACACATTTCATGTTGTTGACATAATTACAATTGTATGTGTTACTGAGTTCATGTTGTAGACATAACTACAATAATTAATGAGTTCATGCTGTAGACATAACTACAATAATAAATGAGTTCATGTTGTAGACATAACTACAGTAATTAATGAGCTCATGTTGTAGACATAAGTACAGTAATTAATGAGTTCATGTTGTAGACATAACTACAGTAATTAATGAGTTCATGTTGTAGACATAACTACAATAATTAATGAGTTCATGTTGTAGACATAACTACAGTAATTAATGAGTTCATGTTGTAGACATAACTACAATAATTAACTACAATAATTAATGAGTTCATGTTGTAGACATAACTACAATAATTAATGAATTCATGTTGTAGACATAAGTACAGTAGTTAATGAGTTCATGTTGTAGACATAACTACAATAATTAATGAGTTCATGTTGTAGACATAACTACAATAATTAATGAGCTCATGTTGTAGACATAACTACAGTAATTAACGAGTTCATGTTGTAGACATAAGTACAGTAATTAATGAGCTCATGTTGTAGACATAACTACAATAATTAATGAGTTCATGTTGTAGACATAAGTACAGTAATTAATGAGTTCATGTTGTAGACATAACTACAGTAGTTAATGAGCCCATGTTGTAGACATAACTACAGTAGTTAATGAGTTCATGTTGTAGACATAACTACAATAATTAATGAGTTCATGTTGTAGACATAACTACAATAATTAATGAGTTCATGTTGTAGACATAACTACAATAATTAATGAGTTCATGTTGTAGACATAACTACAATAATTAATGAGTTCATGTTGTAGACATAAGTACAGTAGTTAATGAGCTCATGTTGTAGACATAACTACAGTAATTAATGAGCTCATGTTGTAGACATAACTACAATAATTAATGAGTTCATGTTGTAGACATAACTACAATAATTAATGAGTTCATGTTGTAGACATAACTACAATAATTAATGAGTTCATGTTGTAGACATAACTAAAATTGGTATGGAGTCAATGTGGTACTATTGAGTCCATGTGGTACACATGTGGTACTACTGAGTTCTTGTGATACACATGTGGTACTATTGTGTTTATGTGGTACTTTTGAGTTGATGTGGTACACATGTGGTACTATTGAGTCCATGTGGTACACATGTGGTACTATTGAGTCCATGTGGTACTATTGAGTTTATGTGGTACACATGTGGTACTATTGAGTTTATGTGGTACTATTGAGTTTATGTGGTATTGTTGAGTTTATGTGGTGCTATTGAGTTTATGTGGTACTATTGAGTTTATGAGGTACTATTGAGTTTATGTGGTATTGTTGAGTTTATGTGGTACTATTGAGTCCATGTGGTACACATGTGGTACTATTGAGTTTATATGGTACTATTGAGTTTATGTTGTGCTATTGAGTTTATGAAGTACTATTGAGTTTATGTAGTATTGTTGAGTTTATGTGGTACTATTGAGTTTATGAGGTACTATTGAGTTTATGTGGTATTGTTGAGTTTATGTGGTACTATTGAGTCCATGTGGTACTATTGAGTCCATGTGGTACACATGTGGTACTATTGAGTTTATGTTGTACACATGTGGTACTATTGAGTTTATGTGGTACACATGTGGTACTATTGAGTTTATGTGGTACTATTGAGTTTATGTGGTACTATTGAGTTTATGTGGTACTATTGAGTTTATGAGGTACTATTGAGTTTATGTGGTATTGTTGAGTTTATGTGGTACTATTGAGTTTATGTGGTACTATTGAGTTTATGAGGTACAAGTGAGTTTATGTTGTATTTCAACGCTTTTGTTATCAGAATTTGTTTCTCTCTCATATTTCTTTCATGTCCGTCCGATTTGCCAGCTCAACAAATTATCAGCTTCATGAAAGTTCTAGTCTTTATTTTTATGCACTTTCTTTCTCCTACTGAAAGTAAGAAGAAATGGATTCGGTTGATTCAAAATTTCCAAAATGAAGCAATGAAAACTGGGATAAACTTTAAATGAGTACTTCTTGTATGCAGCTTCTTCCAGCTTCTGTTTCTCAATATTCCATACCCATCAGAGTCCCTAGTTATTGTTAAAACTATTGATACATTCCATGTCTGGTATATCTTATATACTGTTGAATTAAATTCCAATATCCTTGGCTGTAGCTCGATTTAAGAATAGTGTTGATGCTGTCTTTAAATCATTGATGTATAGTTGGTTTCTGTCTCAGAATTTGTTTCTTTTTAGCTTGAGAGATTGTGGATAATATTTTTGCTGCATATTTTCTTCTACAAACTTTTTCGGTTGATTACAAGAGGTTTTTACAATTTTTAAAATACTTTTATTGAATGAACAAGGTATCACATGGATTATGATTGTATAGAATAGTAAACTTTGACTTTTATTTTGTATTGTCCATTAAATGGATATCATTGATGTAACTGAGCCAAAGCAATCATTTAAAAGGACATAAGAATGCCCAAGTATTTTTCCTTGAAATAAAATTCCTTGATATTTATATTTATATCTTTGTATATATAACTGTGTATATTTGAAAGTATACTGAATGCCTTGTTTATAAATCATCTTTTGCTTAACAGATGTTGTTGTGAATTTTCTACTCTGCCATGAAATGGCTTGGACATGTTGACTTAACTATAATTCCATTATTCCAATTTGGGTTTCTCTCATTTACTCTTCAACATATGAAATGTTGATCATAGTAAATGATTTATGTTTTACAGAGTTATGTTCCCTGACCTTCATAAATGACAAACCTGTATTTAGGGGAACATGTCATGACACTTATATTTGTAGTGTGGGTATCATGTCATGTCCCCTATGTCTGTAGTGTGGGTATCATGTCATGGCCCCTATATCTGTAGTGTGGGTATCATGTCAAAACACTTTTATCTATAGTGTGGGTATCTATATAGTGTTATGTAATGCAATTAACCAGGGGCTCGCTTTTGGCTTGATTAAAGTTCATGATTTTGGAAAGGGTTTCTATGAAATATCTGTATATATTTATATATGTGTATATATGTATATAAGTTTTTCAATTAATAATCCATTGTAAATTATTTTGTGTTACTATTTGACAGCAACACTTGCATTACTGAATCTGTATTTTCATTTCCAGGAGCAAAACAATGAAAACAAAAAACAAATGTGTACAAATACTAAAGAAAGGTAAGATACGAATGGGTTATTGGTCCATGATATTATATGGACAGATTTGCTTTGCATCCCTATGTTGTAAAGTATTGTCCAAATTCTTCAAATTGTCTCTATTGCAGATACTGAATATTTATATGTTTGTGCCGATGCTCATTACGGATCTATAAGATCTGTTCTCCAACAACTGCATAGAAATTATTTTATATTTGCCTTTAAAACTTGCTTCAATTTAAACTTTGTACCAGAGTCATACCTCATGTTGTTACAAATTGGCTCATAGCGATCAAATTAAATATGCAATTTGTGACAAATGTCGTCTTTGTGGCATACTTTTTTGCGTTCAGAGGGGGTATTTTTCAATACTTGTTAAAGAACGGTTTTGGCTGAGGTTGTACAGTATTGTTATTTTGAGAAAAGTCGAGAGCCGATGTATAAAATGGCCTCTGTATACAATTGACATTATTGACATCGTTTTTAGGTCATCTTACCCAAAGGGTCAAGGTAACCTGTTGCTATCGTGCATCGTCCGCCGTTCGCCGTCTGTATACGTTTTCTTTAAACCACTACTCCTACTTAACACCTCGGCAGATTTCAACCAAATTTGATTCGAAACATCATTGGGGATGGCTGATCATTTCTTAAATTCAGAATTTTGATTCCTAGGACCTAGGGATGGGGCCCTGTTAGACAATATTTTGCTTAAAAATATATTTCACCCAGATTTTGTTTGTAA